CTGTAGTAATTAGGCTATATAATACACACCCCTCATGGTGTGCGCCATGGACTCATTTATTTTCAATATTTTCAACTTAGATCACTTTTTGTTAGGTCTTAGTTCGTTGTCAAGGTAGTAGCAAGGAGGTGTATAACCTCCTTGCAAGGAGATGTATAACTTCAGGGGAGAGTGTGCGGGTTGCCTCTTTCTCCTTAGCGACGGTATTAGTTAGGTTGTTAGTTAGGTTGTTAACGTTGTACTTCAGCAACTTAGTACACAGGCATTGTGTGTTGTGGACTTTTAATTATTTCCGACTTACATCACATTCTGTTAGGTCGTAGCCTGTAGCTACTGTATTAGTTATGCTCCTTACCACACAGCTCTCATTGTGTGTGCCACGGGCTTTCAATTTACATAATGCCTTGTCATTATATATTTATTGTACATACTGTACTTGTGCTCTCTTTGCAGCATCAGACCTAGCAGCCCTTGTATAATATCATACAGGATGCTCTCCTTAACAAAACCTCCAGGCGACAATTTCTTCATCAGGAGTGAGAAAACACTCTAATATGCCGTTTGCAGCATTGGGAAAATCCTACCTCCCCCCTCCCTTCTCCCCAGTTTGGCTCCCGGGGAGATGGGAGTTAGGGTTGGGGCAGCCGGCTCGCGGTGTCTATTTTCCATACCAAAATTGATCTCTAGCCACTCTGATTTTGTTGTAAGAGCATTCTGCACGATCTTCACCTTTCTCTCACGTTATGTACTTTCCTTAGCCTTTGTCTTTTCTTTAGCATTTCCTGTAGTGGTAGTGGTTTTGAGTTCTCAGCTTGTAATGTCGCTATTATGTGATTACATATTTCTCAACGTCACGACCACGTGTATATATATATATAACTGCTGTATACTGTTGACCGGATAGGTCCCATGGGAATTTTTCTTACGTATGTCATCACCACAATGTCAATTCTATTTATGTATAATAATTCACTTTGAATTCAAGTTCAAGTTCATAATCAAGTTTATGTTCAAGTTCAAGTTCACTACGCAATTAAATGGTTGTGTTTCCGCCAAACCTGAAATCCGTATCCGCATTCTACCTTGTGCTTTTCCTCGACTTAGTTGACTGGGACTCGCTTAGCGTAAAACTGATTTTTGTGCTAGGACAAAAATATCGTTTTGAGCGGTGTGAGGCCCAGATCAAAATTTAATCCAGATGGGCATTACTTGTACACGCAGCAAAATCGTGACCGGTCCCTGGCCGGCCCCGGCCCCAAATCTAACACATATGGGGACCCATCCTCGATAACGTAACGCTCTCTGATTGGCCGAGTTGACATGGCCTTACAAACAAACAAATACGGGCAGCAGGAATCCTTCATTCCACCCAGACCACACGAGAGCACGGTCAACTCTACACTCTGGATATCTCTTATCAAAATTTTCCCCACCACTCCCTCCCTAAAACACGTAGCACATCACCTGATATTCAGTTGGTCGAAATTATGAAGCAACCCATATGCATTCTTAATCTGTCTGACGTTATCTCTAAGAGCATTGTTTGCAACTGATGGTGCAGATGACTTTTATTCCTGCACTGTTGCGCTTATTTCGTATCTGATGGTACAGTTTAATGATACCTGTACCGATACGCTCCCAAAACATTGATCGCAACTGATGGTGCAGATGACTTTTATTCCTGCACTGTTGCGTCTATTTCGTATCTGATGGTACAGTTTAACTATAGCTGTACCGATACGTTCCCAATCTATTTTTTATGTGAACATTGATCGCAACTGATGGTGCAGATGACTTTTATCCCTGCACTGTTGCGCCTTTTCTCTTGTATCTTGTGGTGCAATTTTTACAAATATTTACCCTTCTATTTCTCCTCGATTACGCCTTTTTCTCGGTTCATTTAGGCGTTTTACTTTACGTCAGTAACTATATATCTACATTACTTATGACTTCAAAATTATTCAAGCCACCGGTCCCATCCGCGCAAACTTCCTGCCATGCCTTGTCTCATGGAAAAATTAGCGGTTCATATGCGGGCGGAAACACAACTTTCTCCTTACACACATACTTACCTCGTTAGCCACTTCCTACTCTAATTTTATTTCCTCCCGAGTCCCCAGCTATGCCGGCCACGCGGTCTCAGCGCCGCTCAGGAGGGGGTGCCGCGGATGACCCGCCACCCGCTGTCACCACCGTCTCCAGGAAGCAGCCGAAAAAGCCAAAGAAGCCGACCGCTGCCGGCCAGATTAAGGACATCCAGGCCCAGCTGAGCGCCCTCACGTCGGGTCAAGTTCAAGTTCACTACGCAATTAAATGGTTGTGTTTCCGCCAAACCTGAAATCCGTATCCGCATTCTACCTTGTGCTTTTTCCTCGACTTAGTTGATTGGGACTCGCTTAGCGTAAAACTGATTTTTGTGCTAGGACAAAAATACAGAACTACACGTGGGCAGTACAGGATTGTTGGCGTGCGGAAAAATATTCTCTTCAAGTTGAAATATTGATCTTTTGAGATGTGCTCATTACCTTGTACTTTCTTGTAGACATTTGAATATGACCGGAGTACGATGGTGAGAGTGATGTTATAAGTAATATTCTTACATGAAATTGAAACTTGCCATAAATGTTTTGGAAAAAATACTTTACAGATGACCCTGTCTACAAGTGTATTGGAGCCCGGGCTATGAATGAAGGAGAGGGCAGCTACCATCTGCTGATGAGAGACATCCCTGCCAACCTGTCAGTTGGTGATGTCATTGTTGGTAACCATAGCAATGGGATATTGGAGCAGGTTATCCAACAGACATCAACACCGCTTGGTGTCTTCATACAAACTCAGCTGCAGGACTGCTTCACAAATTTTGAGTAAGTTGAAGTCATTTAAGCCCATGGTACCCAGCTGGGCTGCAGCTTTCTTATTACAATTGTCTGTCACAGGCAAAGCAGCCGCAAAAAGTATGGGAATGTAGAAACCAGTCGTGTAACAGATCTCTATACCGATTATAATTAATGCATCGGATGGATTTTATCCCCTTAGCTTCCGTGAGGAACTGATGAGGAAGGACGGAGTAACCCTTCCTGCTTCCCTGCCGTGTTCGGGCGGACCGGAGGGTGCACACGGGCTGCTCATCGTGGACTCTGCGGGAATAGAAGTAGACCTGGAGACTGGCGAGGTGGTGGTGGGGAGAAGGAGTGGCAGGCTGTTGGCAAGGGTGAGTACGCAATTACAATATTAAAAATGTATTAAGAAGCCCTTGGCACATGTAAGTTGTAAAAACACCTTACTTTTTCCCCACAAAAGTTTCCACGATAATAATCTAATGTTAGAAAATCCCCTAGGTTCTGAACATCACCCCAGTGGATGAGTACACATTAGTAGAGGTGGAGCCAATCCTGAGCAGGTCCACCGTCACGCCGTCAAGAAGAAAACGACGGGAGGATGTTACAGCTTCTCCAGCCAAGCATTCAATAAACATCGTCATCGACGACCAATTCTCGGTATGGCTGTTTTATCATACTCGTGGGCAGAGATTGAATATCGTCAGATACAAAGAACATAGCATATGTACATCGTTATCGGAGACAAACCGAACTCGCAGATTTACTATGCAGAGATTTGATATTGGCAAATTCAAGGAACTTACAATAGATTAGCATTTTTGACTAATAAAAAGCTTATTTACTAGTTTCTGTTGGAGAAACTTGTAACAAAATGTCAAAAGAAATGATCCCGCACTATACCACATGTTTACGTCCACTAATTAAATACATTAGAGACTAAGGAAATACGACACGATCAACCCACAGGAACACTACGCAGCAAAAACAAAATGATATCGACACTTCCGACTGTAAATGTTAAATATTGCATGCAATATATATGCAATACATGTATGTGTGTGTGTGTGTGTGTGTGTGTGCGTATGTGTGTGTGTGTGTTAGTGTGTGTGTGTGTGTGTGTGTGTGTGTGTGTGTGTGCATGTGTGTGTGTGTGAGATAGTACAACCTTACGTAATACAATATATTTTTCAGGACTCCACCGATAGTTACAATATTGAACTATCTACAAGTGGGCGGCTCTCATCTGATATCAAGCTCTCGCTTGCAGTTTCGACGTCAGAGTTTAAAACACCCACGCTTAAAAAGGTCGGAGCTTTCTTCATCGGTGGAAAACTACATGTGGGAATGGAAGGTTCTTTAGACGTTTTGAAGAGGTAATATAGGTCCAACACAACCTGCTTACAAAATTTTTCTTTTGTTAGAGTTTTTATCATCTATTTGTAAAGGGGATAAAGACTTGGTAGCTAAAATTTGTTAGGGACCCAGGCATGGCCCATGTCCAACAATTTATTTACATTCTTTTAAAATAGTACCATACCCCCGTAACAAACATCACAATATGACAGGGTACTCTACTCAAAATATGTTGTTGTTTTTTTCATGTGGAACTGTAATATTTTTAAGAAACCTTATCTTAAGGTTATCTGAGATACAATATTGCTTTGTAATATGAGTCATTCCTGTGTTAAGCGATATTTGCCTTTCGTGTGTTGTATCCATTAATTTAAATCGTTTCTATCCGATTAGGACGTGGACCAAGGGCAGTTTCCGGACGGAGCTGGCTCCCATCTATGTGTCCCTGTGTGTAGGCACACAACTGAGCATACCGGCCAAAATATGGGCACACATCGACACAGAGTATAATATCTCTGCTGAGGTAGGTACAATTAAAACGGTTTTTAAATGCAATAGCCAAAACAATATTGCCATAACACCACCACAACACCAATGTTTTTATACATAATACTATGAGAGGCGCTTTTCTTTAAATATCCACTTGGTTTTGCTGTATATTTCTGTGTCGATAAAATGTTTATTATCATCATTATCAAAATGTTTATTATATATCTTTTAATGTAAAATGATCATAACCCCACATCCACCGTAACTCTACTTTAATCACACCTTCAGGGTCCAGGCAGTATACAGATGTCCTCCACCGTGACCAAACCTGACATTGACGGCGGAGGTAGCTGGCAACCTCAAGAAGGAAGTCAAATGTTCGAGTTTGACCAGAATGAAGAATCCGTGAGTGTTGTACGATACCCAGCACCTTGTATAATTATATTTCCATTGACTAAAGCGTTAGACAAATTTTTACCTGGAACATATCTGTTTTACGACTGATGACAATTTTAAATCACTCTCTGTGTTGCTCGCCTGTTCTAAAGCCTTTATAAGCATTCGCAGTTGACAAAGTTTTACTTTTTTTCAACTAAAGGGCAGTGCAAAAATTGGGATATCGCCCTACTCGGGAACAGCAGCTGAAAGTGATCATCGCATCATGCTGGAGCTAAAAGTCAAACCAAGATTTTTCATCGAGTTTCCCACATCTGGAGAAAATGAAGTCAATGATTGGACGAGCCCTCTAGGTACGCAATTTTTTAAACATGTTATGGCGCGTGTCTATTCAAATATGAAGAATAATTTTTAGTAATAATATGGGAACCTACAGTGTTTGCTACAATCGTATATGCCAACAAAATCAGTAGTTTTAAAGAGAATTTTTTGTTTCGATATTTTATCTCTGTCCAGACTTGAATGCCGAAGAGGACACTTTTGGATACACTATCACCACCTCCATTCAGTCACAAGCGCTCCTGCGTGTATCAGCCCTGTCCTGTTCTACTGAGTGCCCGTATTCAGACAGACCACAGTACGTCGTCGTCGTGTCATCGTTGGACTATCTTAAAGGAGCGTTGAAGGTTACAGTTGGAAACGACGAGTATTATCAGGAACAACTATGGAGACATGAGGAGTGGATGGAGTCTGACAGGTTAGAAACCTTTCTTGATTGATTGACACCAACTGCCTATAATAGTGTACTTTAAAATGTAAAGGCCAACAAAATGTAGGTTGCCTCGGCTACTATGTTTGAGTACAGAAATGCTTATCTAAACTTAAAGGTGTCTATCAATGATTCAATAAGCATCAACAATAAAGTATCTAATACGTTTGTCAGTACAAGAATTCAAGTTAAAAGTAGAAGGTACTAAAAGTAATGATTCAGATCTACATCTTCGTCATGTCTGTGATATTTGTGCATTGATTTCTAACCAGGTAATATTAAATCCCAGATACATTTATCAATTATTTTACTATGTTTCAGAGACTGCCAGGAGCAGCCGTCCAGCATTGATACCTGTAGGAACATATGTTTATGCCCTGGTGGAGCAACGGGGAGGCCGCATCCTACTGACGAGAGCTTCTGCATGTGTCCTTGCAACTGTGGAAGTGCAAACATAAGCTTCACGGTATAAATAACGTTCCTTATGTATGATAAAAATGTTTCTCCAACATGCTAACAAAGCTTACAGGCCCATATATCATTATATTATATTACATATTATATTATATTACATATTATATTATATTATATTATATTATATTGTATTATATTATGTTACATATTATATTATATTATATTATATTACATATTATATTATATTATATTATATTATATTGTATTATATTATGTTACATATTATATTATATTACATATTATATTATATTATATTATATTATATATCGTTCTTAGATGCAAGGCACGATGTTGGACACAACGATTACTCACATTACTCAAAGTTCCCTTTGTTTCTTCAAAACAGCACCCAGGCATTTCCGGTGACGGATGTAACTGTGAGTTGTGTCCCGATGGAGACTTCAAAACCGTGAACAGTCAGGGACATCTACACTGCCCATGTCTGTGTCCTGACAACAGCATATCGGAACTGACCAGCAGTGGGGGATGTGAGGTAAGCATTGTTACGTACCATATCATGTTTCATTGTGTTATATGTCGTAGTTTTCAGTGAATCATTACTTTTAGTACCTTCTACTTTAACTTGAATTCATACAAAAGTTTCGCTGAACGCCATATTACAAGTGGCGAGGAGGAGATTCTTGTTTGGATCGAATTACTCATTGTACTACCTACGTCAAAAACGATTTTGCGCATCATCATTTCAGGATGCTCATTGCAGGCAAGGCAATACTGACTTGAAATTCATCTTGTCCTCACAGTGTTCCTGCACCTGTCCAGACGGTAGCAGGGATGTGGTGCTGAGTGACGGCAGCTGCCCGTGTAAGTGTACCTGTAACAACTGCCACGAGTCGGTTCTGGGTCCTCAAGGCTGCCTCTGTTCTGATAGGTGAGGGACTGATTATTTAATAAAAACACTACCTAGGTAAAGGAAAAGTTCCGAGTATCTTTCTGATACACCAGAATCACCATGTGTAAATTGTAAGATCTAAGATTATTATGTTTCTTGAATAAGATGGAACGCTGGATCATTGGGCTCCTATGACTTAAGATGTATTTAGTTTAAATAAAAGACGATGTACGTACATGATTCCCATGTGCATACTTTATTTTCTAATACAGTATGCCTTATCAACCTTGCACAGCTGTCCTGACTGTGAGAATGACGAGGAACCCGAGTGGCAAGACTGTGTCTGTAAGTGTCCACAGAAGACAGAGTGCGGGATCCCACCTACATGTGTGGTGGGGAGGATGGGACCAGATTGTAGACAGCCAGACTGCAGGCCATGCCAAGGTATAATCATCTATCAATATGTTAAAAGGAATGGAAATAAAGACTTTGTTTAAGGTTTTGTAGGAATAGTTTGGGTGAATAGTTGACCTGATTGAAGATGCACTTTGACAATCTTTATAAGGGGAGGTTACTCATCTATCTTTCTTTAGAATACACATCTGTAGGTACAGAGACTGAAGAGAAGAGAGGGTCAGAAGGTTTACTTCTGAACGTGGCACATGTAATTTTTGACTATTTAAAAATTATAGGCTGCTCCGGAAACGGACGTTGCATCACATCAACACACAGCTGTCAGTCATCCTGTGTGTGCTCGCGTCAGTGGTTCGGTGACTGTTGTGAGCTGCGCCGTCCTCGTCCTATTGGAGGGGACCCTCATCTCCAGACACTGGACGGTAATGATTGTTTCCTAAGTTGTGTTCTTCATTATCTTATACGGCATCTGAATCTATTTCAGAGATATCTTCAGCTGTTTATCATGTAATTGAGACATGACTATTCAGGATGGCCCAAAGGAAAAAAATATGTACAATAACTTATTTTTCCTCTTAACATAAATGAACCATGTTTAGCGTTTGGTCATAACCTCAACGGTTCTTTCTGATGGTATTCATAGTTGTTTTGTGTTGTGTTAGGAAAACCATACGACTACCATGGTATCGGTGAGTTCTGGGACTGCAAGAGCGTCCCCAATGACTTCGGCGTACAGACCCGGATGTACGCGTATAAAGGTGCTTCCCTGATTGGTGGAGTTGCAGTGAAGGCTGGACACAGTGTTGTCACTCTGATGACATTACCAAATGCAACAGAAAATCACGTTCCCAACATAAGGTGAGGGTTCTACTGTATATACATTCCTGTGTATAGCTAATGATAATTTCGTATAGTAGTCATATGTTCATTAACATTTTCCATCGGTAATGTTTGACATGTGTGGCAACAGGTTAATCAGTTGAAGACACTTAACATGTTCAAATTGCTTGATTCTGTCATTCGGCACTCTAGGATTGATGGTGAACCGCGTCATCTTTCTGTCGGAGAGAAATATCTCCTGAACAATGGAACGATACATCTGCTCGCTCAGCAACCTTCTACAAACGCTACGGAGTCAGGGGCTGTTATCATCGTGTCTATCACATTTGCATCAGGTAATGCGAACATAATCAATAACTAGGCATTTATAGCCAGCGAGATTTTGCAATGATCTGGTTGATGAACTGTTTTTTCTTCATGCACGTTTACTCTGTGCTTTTCATTGATGATAAGGGGACCAACAAGTCTAATGATCTATATCTCACCCATAACAACCAGGTGCAACTGTGTCATTTGACATCCGGTATTCACCAAAGATGGGCCGACAGTTTGTCAACATTTTGTTCAGCCCCACTGCCACGTTTAAGGGCAACACGGAGGGACTGTGCGGGCTCATGGATGACGATGATGACAATGACTTTACTGGTCCAGACGGTACTGTGTATAACGACACTTCTGTATTTGCCGAAACCTGTAAGTATTAGGTCATATGATAATACGTAATACAAATTATAGTGAGAAGCAGAACTGTAAAACATTATAATCATCGTCGCTGCTCATATCTGTTCAAGATGAGGGCACCACTGTTTTCTACTGTCTAGCTCTTGTTAACCATACTTAGTTACTTTTAAGTAAATAAGTATGATATACATGTATAACTAAGATATTAAAATATCTTGCACTTCATACCTTGCGAGACATTATAAGGGGTTGACTTTTTTCTTCCATCTGATTGAATCCTTGGTCATCTTTCTTACTGATCGCAAATATAATCCCATTGATACCAGGTCATCCGCTTTTCCAAGTAGTTTTGGGTATTCCTTGTCCAAACATGTCTTCAGTTTATTGCTATTTTCTTTTCTGTTCTTAGTACTAGCCAATTCGTTTTTGTCTTCTGTTAGAAATTTCTATGAACATTTACCGTTTGTTCTCAATAGCCATTCACTGCCTAATGAGTAAAACTACATTAAACCGCCTCCGTGGAATAAAATGAACTTCTAGCAAATACATTTTAATCTTAACTTTGGCAACGATCTGCCCTGTCTTTCATCTATTTGTTGCGACACTTGTTGATTTTGTAGGGCGGATAAATAAAACCCACTACGGCTCAGGTCTGATGGGGTCCTGGTCATGGAACTCTTCTAACTTCCATCCTGATGACGTCAAGGATCCTGCCTATTCTGACCCGAACCACCGTCCTTCTGTTGGCATAGATGGACTGACTCAGGAGCAAAAGGAAGTAATAATTTTTACTGCTTCTATTTCTTTTCATGTTGAGATGTTGGGAGTGACACGTGCACAGTTACAAGATACTCATAACTATATTCAATTTATTAAATCACCTATATTGTTGTAAATTAAAAAAAACAGAATGTAACTTATAAGGTTCTTGATGTTTTCGTTTCAGAAAGCTGAAGAAATGTGTATCGCTCTCGGGCTGACCGGCACACTTCTTAATGAATGCGTCTTTGACGTGTCAATCACTAACGACACAACCTTCACTGAACAGGAGGTTTTCAAAGGTATAACGTCGGCTTACATGCATTTTTCTTACATGGTTATTCTGAATCTGTTTTTTTTTATCTTACCCTTTTTCACCTGAAAATATTTGCAACAGAACGTTATTCTCCCCTGCACGTAAGTATGTTGCAAAACTTGATATCCTGTTGCGCTTAATTCTCATATCTACACCCTCACAGGTTGTCCAAACCAGTGCTCCGGTAGGGGTCGCTGTGTAAACGGAACCTGTGACTGTATAACGGGCTGGTCTGGTGAAGACTGTAACGTTGGAAACTGCACAGACTGCTCCGAGGATCACGGGAAATGTGAGCTGGGGTTTTGTATGTGCCTGCCCGGATGGGAGGGAGCAGCCTGTGATCAACAAGGTAATGTTGCCAGGTTCTTTGGATGGTGCTATGCATGCATTTAACAAAAATGATAATATCGTGTTATGTGTCTACAGATAGAACTTAAGTAATCTCCTGACAATTCGCTTCTGCCTTTCAGTTGGTATATTGGAAAACGCCCACTGGTAAAATATTCAACCAGTGCTTGCGTTCCATTGAGTTATTACCATCTTTATGTCAATCACTAATACTTAGAAACAATCAACATGTAGCGCTTTACAAATCACCCCATACGTATTACCTTCTTCGTATCTTCTTGCTCTTCTTATATTATGACTAAATATCTCATAATGGCTGGTGATTAAACGGAATTCTAATCGCTTATTCTATTTCGTCTATTTCAGCGACATGTTATGCCGTCAATAACTGCACCAGCATGCGTCACGGGATCTGCATAACCACAGATGTCTGCAGATGTGAGCCGGGCTACATCGGTAGGACAAACATGATGTCTTGAAATTTGGATTTCTACAATTTGGGTATTTAATTGATATTCAGAACTTTTTTCAAAGATTTTGTTCACTATGTTTAATCACTAACAGGTGCTGATTGCAGTGTGGTCCCCACGTGCGGAAGTGTTGCTAACTGCACAAACCACGGAGTGTGTGTGGACTACGACAACTGTTTGTGTGATGAACAGTGGACAGGTGACACGTGTGACCAGTTCTCATGTGCAGCGTTGGATTTCTGCTCTGGTAAGTTCATATCCCATATATCTTTCTCCCAATAGAGTAGCGTACAATGTATGATAGTAGGCAACATTATGTTGACTTTTTGGGAATCTAATATTGATTACTGTAGTGAGGAAAACGTGTGTTTGTGACGCAGGGCACGGAAGCTGTGTGGACATAGACGTCTGCCACTGTGAGCAGGGCTGGACCGGCAGCTCCTGTGTCACACCGGACTGTCCTGAAGTTAACCAGTGTTCCCGCCAAGGAGACTGTGTTGGTCCGAACATCTGCCAGTGTTACAGCGGGTATCAAGGTCTGGACTGCAGTGAAGCCCAGAGTTGTCCTGAATTGCAAGAATGCAGCGGAAACGGGGTTTGCGTCAACAGTTCTGAATGTCAAAGGGAATGCAAGTAAGTTTTTTTTTAAGTCACGTTTGTGATCTATTCTAGGAGAAATTGTGCTCATGCACCTTAAAAGCACCCAAGCGTGTTCTTAGTAGTTTCCCAAAAATTGTTTTTAAGGTGTCCTCCCTGGCTAATTTGGCATTTTAGCTTTCCATCGTTTTCTCACAAAGAAATTTAAAAAGAACTGCAGTTGTACTGAATATTGATACCTGGGTACAAAAGGGTTATGAATATGATTTTTTGGACCATATGGATGACGTCATCACATTTTATTGCCCCAAATGTAATTATCTATAAAGCTATAATATAGCACTTTGGTACAAATAACTGAAATAAAAGTATGATTTTCATGTGCATAATGATCAAAGCTACAAACTTACGTTTGCACAAATTGATATCTACTAATTACCCGTAGTTATTAGAGAATAACTAAATTTTAATTAGGCAATGAGGTTATTCTCTAATTACTACGGATAATTAGTAGATATCAATTTGTGCAAACGTAAGTTTGTAGCTTCGACCATTATGCACATGAAAATCATACTTTTATTTCAGTTACTTGTACCAAAGTGCTATATTATAACTTTAAAGATAATTACATTTGGGGCAATAGAATGTGCTGACGTCATCCATATGGTCCAAAAAATCATATTCATAACCCTTTTGTACCCAGGTATCAATATTCAGTACAACTATACTTCTTTCTAAATTTCTTTGTGAGAAAATGATGGAAAGTTCAAAATGCCAAATTAGCCAGGGAGGACACCATAATACAATACTCCTTCCTCACATGATTTCCTCTGTTGCGTTGATGTTTCAGCTGCTTCCCTGGGTTCAGCGGCGCAAGTTGTGATCACCCAGACTGTACTGAACAGAATAACTGTACTAACCACGGCAGCTGCATAGAGCCTAACCTGTGTCAGTGTGACAGTGGGTACACCGGGAACGACTGTGCCAACTTCTCTTGTGAAGCATTGCAGTATTGTTCTGGTGAGTACTGACTTCTTAAGTGTGCTAATTCACTACACATGTATCGTTATATTCCAATTCATATTAATCATACTGAGACTGTGATATTTGGCACTTACTTGTTATTTTTATACGAGTAGTTCTCGCGGATATCTATAGAATTGTATCTTTTTCTACAGCCCATGGAAGCTGTGTGAGGTTTGACACATGTAGCTGTGATTCTGGCTGGTCAGGTGGTTCTTGCAACATTGCCATCTGCAGCAACAAAAGTGACTGCTCCGGCCAAGGCACTTGTGTCGCCCCAAACACGTGCGCATGCTTCCCTGGGTTCCAAGGAGAGAACTGCAGTGAAGAGAACCTACCCAATGAGCATCCACCAGTCTTCCAGAAGCACAGATATGATGCCGCAATTCCAGAAAACCAGCCCGTTGGCTCACCAATTCTTACAGTTTTTGCGAACGATACTGACAGTGGACGTAACGGTGAGGTCAGGTTTAGGCTTGCCCAAACAGGTTTGAACAGTGAAAGTTTTGCAGTACATCCTACTTCAGGGATCATAACTTCAGTTGTTGAGTTTGACTTCGAATCGTTGGAGCACGCGTCGTTCAGTCTCACTGTTGAAGCATTTGATCAAGGAGTGCCGACACTTACGGGAACAGCCACGGTAAATATAAACATAACGGACCAGAATGACAACAAACCTGTCATCAGCATCCCCCCTGAAACCGAGTACAATCTTCAATCCATATCCCCTATCGGCTTTCACGTGACTACTGTACAGGCGTCTGATGCTGACAGGTCCGATGATAACTCCAGAATCACGTACGGAATCACAAGTGTCAGTCCCTTTGTTTCCATTGATGCCACAAACGGTAGTGTAACCGTTAGCAGTGCCTTGGAAAGTGGAACGTACGTATTAAGGGTCAGGGCGTCAGATCACGGTTTACCACCGAAAACAGACGAAGTCACTCTCCGTATGATCGTGACCAAAGTAAGCACAAACACAGCTCCGAAGTGTCCGGAAGATGATAGTATTGAGGTTACTTCTGGCAACCTTACAACAGGGACGACAGTCGCGACCATTAAAGCAAAAGATGCCGACAACAGTCCAAACGGTGACGTTTCCTACAGTTTTAAGTCCCTAACAGGAGAACTGGCAAGTCTGTTCGGCATTGACCCGTCCACTGGTCGTATTTACGTTGCGGCTGAAGTACCACAGATTAACAACACTTTCTCAGCGGTTTCAATGATAGTTGAGGCCAGAGACAAGGCTGTAGATTCATTGTCCTGTGAAACAAAAGTCGTTGTAATAATAAGTAATGATAACCGGATTTCAACTGAAAAAGCATCTACAACTAAAGTGGGTGAAAGCACGATCCGTTTGGTCAGGTCTACCGCCGAGTTTACAACAGGCCCAGGCATTACAACACGGGAATCAGGTGGTTCTACAGCTCACCCAACAACAGAAATGGCGACAACAACCAAAGAGTATGAAAAAGGCACTACACAGACAGCAACGACAGAAGGTAATTAAGGGTGTATTCGTTGTTTCATAAGCATCTCCACAATGTAAAATAAAACAACACCAGTTGGTGTGGTGCCACCACGTTAAACATGATTGTAGTAGCAGGGAAGATGCTATTTCTGTTACTTGTGTACGTTGTGTACGCTTTTAACCCTAAACAGTACACCTGGGGTCAGCGCGGACCCCAGCACTATATATTCTGTAATATCTTTTTTATTTCTAAAGATTTTTTTCTGAAATTTTAAATAATTGTCACCCACAAAGTTGTCTCTCAATACAGTGCAGAAAACTCCGTTTCTATCATTTATAAAAAAAATTATATCTGATTTTCTTTTGGGGTCCGCGCGGACCCCAGCTGGCTTTCGATCATAATGGATACACTGGCGTTCTTATACATTACCTTATTTCCGTTTTTATATGTTTTTATGCACTCATTGTATGTCTACCAAGTTTTCAGAGAATGGTGTAGTAATAGAATTAAATTTTAATAACTTTGGTGTAATTATTTGTCATATGACGTCAGAGCTAATAATATAGTCCGCCATATTGGATTTTGACCAATGACGTCATCAAATTAGCATATTCTATGCATATTAAATGATTTAACTTATATTTAATTATGTAAGATGTTATTAATGTTGGAAAGGAAGTGTAATTTAATATAAAACTCAGAAAATTTTTATGTTTAAACCAAAATTACTTCTTTTTTCAAAAAAACTGCCTGCTAGAAACCCGTTGCCATGGTAACACAAAAAAACATCAACTTACTAGTATTAAACTAATATGAACTTTTTTCCAGAGACATTTTAGGAAAGGTCTCCAGATTTGATACTTCTAGCGCAAGCCGTTTAGCCGCTATCTGAGATCAAAGTTGGGCCTCAAAAGCCCCTTCAGTCTGAAATGGGTTTAAAAATCGGGTATTTCTTCTTGTCTTCTTTTCTTCTCCAAAAAATAGAAAAAGTTCAAAATGTATAATTTTTGTATGTAATGTGGACACAGAGGTTCCCATATCAGTTTGCAAAACAATTGAGCTGGTAGCATGTTGATAATTTCTAAAAATTAGCAAAAAACTGCTCTGGGGTCCGCGCGGACCCCAGGTGTACAGATTAATCAGTCCGGGAAGGTGTACTGTTGAGGGTTAACCTGACACATCCTATCATCCTAGTACCCATGTCAGTGGAAACACGTTTGTTCAGAGGCGTCATAAAGATCAAGAATCGGGAGTGGAAGGATGAACTGGAGGATCAAACATCTGATGAGTTCAAGAATTTGGCTGCAGAGGTCCAGGAAGAGGTCAGTATAGAATGAATTATTACAAGATATAGCCAAAAACTACATACATTGTGATTTTTTTCTTTGCATTTCTAGGAAAGCTAATTCAAGTTTTGGTTTTACCTCCGTTTCCATAGCTGGATAATGTGTACAGGAACAGCGACCTTAGGGGCACATATCACTCTGTGGAGGTTACGGGCTTTTCGTAAGTTATTCTTTTTAATTGATATCTCAAAATTAATATCTCTATATTTGTTACATCACATGTTTGTGCTAAACAATAGTCATTTGATTCGCATCTCACTTTCCGCGGCTCGTATGTATATAACGATTAAGAACTGTAAGTGTTGACGACAATTTTTATATTGTACCTCACATGTTTGTTTATTGGTTATCTTTCAGTCGCGGAAGTGTTAGAGTGGACTTCATGGTTCGCTTCAACTCACCCACGGCCACACCTATTGCTAGTGATGATGTCCTAGCTGTGTTGGAAGGAAAGACAAACATTGGTGGTCTGCAAATAGACCACACTGTCACCAGCATCTCAGGTACATGGTGTATTTCCCCATCTAAACAGTTTGTTGCTTTTGTAATAAATTCATAATGCAATAATTTTCTGTCATTTTTTCCGGTTTGAAATCAAAAGAATAACGTTTTGTCGGCTTAACGTGTGTGTAAATTTTAAGTATTTAGTTACCAAGAATAACAAACATTTCTGACATTGACATCAATGAACAACAAAATGATTGAAATGTTGATCGTTTATCCAGCAACTCAAACAGACAATTTAAACAATCACATGGCTTAAATATCTATTATATATATTAATGCATTCGTGTCTCGTTTTCAGAGGTGACCGGAGAGGGAGAAAGTTATGGTAAGCATATTTTTCATAGTTTTGTTGTTGATTAATCTCGAACGAATAAAAAACTATAATCTTATCCATATTAGGTTTGACTATAGACAACAAAAGTTACTGTCTTAAGTTGCAGTTTCAGCCAGTCACGAATTTATTATAGAAGATATGTATACATGGTATAAACCCATACCATATAGCAAATACGGTACGGGCAAGCTAATGCACATCTCTTTAATCGTCATTACACGGTTACATTTGCAAGCTGTATAAGTGATATAGCATTAAAAAAACGTTTTGAGTAGCCTAGAGATTAATGTTTGTAATTTCATACCGTATACAAAACATACCCAGAAGGAATTTAGATAACAAAGCGGACTAAAAACAAGATTATCATCAAGCTGTAAAGATGAACAGCTTTTTTTTCTTTCAGTGTGGTACAACAACCCTATAAACATCTTAGCCCTCTGTGTTGGTGCTGCCGTCATTTTCACAATTCTGGTAATACTGGTGATTTGGCGTGCTAAAAAGGTAAGAGACATGTCATAAAAGCATGCCTTTTTTAGGAGTATAACAATAAAGACCAGCAAAAAATAACACAGTTTAGTTCATCCTCGCACGAGGTGCCCCGATAGAGGCATTTTGAGACACTTCTGTTTAGCGTGGTAGCCAGCATGCCACGGTCCTGCAGACCAACACCCAATACTCTCTTGAGCGTCAGGTTTGGGCGTCCCCCTCTTAGTTCGTAATGTTGCAAAACTACAATGCGGTATAATGTAAAACGTATGCGTTCATTGCATCGCAGATTACTGCGTATTATTGAACAAACTACACGCATGCGTTGGGAAGTGCGTTAAAATATGTAAAATGATATAAACGTTTAACTATTTCCATTTTTTGACATTGGCAGAGTCGTCGCAAGATGGATATAGCCAGTCACAATCAATGGCCTTCCCAAAATGCACAGCGCCTACTCCAACAGCGCATACTGATTCCACGTGCGAGGCTCTCGCGAGACTCTGCGAGACAGATGTACCAGAACCCGGTGTACAATGTCAACGAATAATTAGGGAGATGTAACTACATGATCCAAGCGTTCCAATGAAAATGGAACCGGATCTTTTAAATAACAACTAATCCGGAAATCATTAATAATGACAAAGTGTATGTCAATAATTTAGATAATAACTAGAAAGGCCAATATTTGCTTTGGAGCAAATACAGCGGTGGGTTCACCACATTTTACGACATGGCAGGGAAAGAATGAGAAACACAAGGGAAAACAATGATTTACATTGATATAACTATAATATGAAGTAACATACAACTAAAACAACAGTTGGATAGCTATTCCCTACTTTATTGGTTAGGATTTTTAATTGCATAATGCAAACTGTTGATTTTCAAAAAAAAAAGAAAACGTTCATGCCCCGCATTCCAATGCTGGAGCAGAAAAGCTTGAAATACCTACCAAAACACTTGAATAAAGACATACTGTCAGTATGGAAATGCTCTGTGCAGGTGTTAATCAAGTTAAATCCCAACAGCCAATCAGCAAGAAATGCTCTGTGCAGGTGGAAATGCTCTGTGCAGGTGTTAATCAAGTTAAATCCCAACAGCCAATCAGCAAGAAGTATAGAGGAAAGCTGCATGCCTATTGGTTGATGCCCTGCATCCCATTGTGATGACTCATGCCCAGACGTGGTAAACACGGCACACTAACACAGTAATACATTTGCTATAACACAGCCAAAAAACTAAAATAAAACCATTCTAAAAGCCTGTATCACAAAAATTTAAAAACGCCTAGGGGTATTTGCCCACTGTACCTCCATACCAAATTTCAGGACCTTAGGCCCTAAAATGAAGAAGCTGAATCCGTTTAAACTAGAAAGGCCAACATTTGCTTCGGAGCAAATGTAGGAATTTCACCCCATACCCTTCCCCAAACAAAAATGAGAGATTCTAAATAAATCATACTGCAATTATACAAGGACAAGCTGTTTGAATCTCGACAGGTATTTACAAAACTGGCACTTGGCAATTATCTCCCTTTTTTTTACAAAGATACAACGACACGCACTTTAAATCTCGACAGCTTTACTTTACACTTTTGACGAGATTGTAACTACTACTAAAGCTAAGGTCCCAATTGGGAAAAGGGGCCCTGGCGGGTAGTTCCCGGGCTGTTTTTTACCACTTTCGGGCGGGACCCCGACGTGGCCCCGCGGGGCACTCTGCGGCTACCGGGCTTATTTTTGGCCCGTCGGGGCCCCGATAAGAATTTAATTCTGAGTTAAAATTCTACCCGGGCCCCGCTGACAAAAAGACGCCGTGACCTCATCGTGAGAACACCGAGAGGTACCCCTCCGGTTGCCGGCATTCCACCGGGACACATTTCTTACGTCACAGACCAGATGAACAGAATAAAGGTGTGTACTTCGTAAACCCGGGTAAAATGTGTGACCTCACAGATCAAATGATCACAACAAATACGTGAATTCTGCATTACGTATAGGTCAATACAAGACATCGTCAGAGAATCTGCTGGGTACCTGCCGGGTGCCTGCCGGATACCGACCAAAGAGGGTGACAAAATTTCTAACAAAATGCTACTGAAGGAAACTTTTAATTGTGACCACGACAGCCGATGCCCGCTCGACTCCTAAACCCGGCCGGGGCCAGCCGGGGCTACATCCCCGACGGGCACCGGCGTAATTGGGACCTTAGCTTAACGGAAGCAAAATTTTCACGGCCTGAGAAAAATGGACATGTTCACGGAAGTATATATTCACGGTGGTGACAGTTGCAGGAAAAAGAAAGTCCAGGAATTATTTCCTAACTGTAATGATAAGTTCACAATACAGAGGTGACAGTGAAAACCGTGAACATTGACCCCCCGCTTGCGTTGCGGTACAGTGAAAAAAAATCGGGAATTACAGCAATCAATTTACTGAGTATGTTTGCTTAGTTTCCAGATGTTTTGTACTTGTAGTTTTTAAATGAACGAAAACCGATGCGCGCACAGATGTTACTTTTGTGACAACATCAAAGTGATTTTGGTTTGTATGTTGAAAAAATACAAAAGACTAACATTCGAAGTTATTGAAATTCTTGAGTAAGAACAATCAGTTTTGGAATGTTAAAAGCAAAGCAATGGATATTAAAACGAAAATGTTAAAATTAAATGTTGAAATTGTTAAAATGTAAAATGGTTAAAATGGTTGAAATTGTTGAAATTGTTAAAAATGTTAAAATTGTTAAAAATTGTAAAAAGGATAATTAAAAATATCCAGTGTACCGGGGTTCGAACTCGTAATGTCTGGACTTGCAGCCCTGCGCGTTACCAACCGAGCTATCTGGACACGTTTCCATTACTCTCTGCATTGTATGTCATATAAAGTGAACAACATGGCGGTAACGATCGCTTCAAGTACTAGTAAGGGACTTTCTAGGAGATACACTCTACAATTTTGGTGATTCTTCAGAAATCGATAACAGAATATATAATACTAGTCGGTGAAGATTGTGGAAAATTGTTGATACCGTGGCGCGCGCTTGCGCCGACGATACACATTACGTACCGTTGTTTACAGTACTCGCGGGGCGCAGGTCATTGACCTCCCGCTTGCGTTGTTCCAACAGAGAAGAGCAAAATATCTGCCAGTTTTTGCGTCAGATTTTCAGTGTTTGTTAAAATCATATACAGGCATCCATGCAGCTATAATTCTTCCAACTAGTTCGTAGTTAGGTGAAATGTTTATAGGAATCACACGAATCGGTATCCAATATCAGAGTATCATGGCCCACGGCCGAGACCGCGTGGACCAGCTGCGCTGGTACGTGAAAATGGTAGTAAATAAATTAATTAGCCAACAGCCAATCAACAGCAACATCTGCAAACATGACCACACCTGCTTGTATGCCCATATTTGGGCCTTCCCCCGAATTCCTTTCTTATTACGTCACGCGCGTACGCCCCCACAGTATTTTCCTATGGGGACCACTAAAAAGCAAATAAAACGATTGTAAAAGCTTGTATCAAAAAAATTTAAAAAACGCCTAAGGGTATTAACCCACTCTACCTCTATACAAAATTACAGGTAATTTCGCCCAAAAATGAAGGAGTTGAATCAATTTAAAGAAGTGGCAGGAGGAGGAGGAGGAGGAGAAGGAGGAGAAGAAACATCAGAAAAAGCAATATGGGTTCACCACCACTTCGTGGTGTGGTGAACCCATAATAATTGGGTATTTCAGATGAATCGGTCGAAATAGTGGCCGATATTACTTGAAAAGTGTGAAGTGTTTCTGTTGTGCTGTTTTATCAATTTTTACATGTTTTGATGGTCTATTGAATATGTTTTAGTTATCAAGCTCCGGCATGGTTTTATAACCTTTTATTTTGGTTGACTGCTTCTATATCGTAGCTTTACGTCGAGTAATTAAAAAAATCCTTGTGGCACAAGCATGCGAATATTTATACCAGTTACGTTACACGTAGATGAGGATATTTTCCTGGACTTTATGTATTGGTCCTATCCTCTTACCACAAAATGATCAGTATTATCGGATATAAACCAAATATTCTTACCTAACGTCTCGGTGTCTATCAGAGCATTTGACTGAAGTTCTGCCTTTCGCCGCTATATGTAGCCGATTTAGGTGGCGCTTTTGCGGGTAGGACCTTGGGGAAAAGGTTAAACAACCGCTGAAACAACCCATAAAAGAGGCAGATAACGATGGCACAGTAACATACACCCGTTCCTAGAAACAACAGGCACAAAAACACAGAAAGAGGGGGAGAAACCGACAGTGACAGACCACATTGCCTGAAACAACTGAAATATAGACTAGGAGAGGGGCCAAGGACATAGAGGGAGAAAACAACAAAAGAATGCGATGGATTAAAGAAGTAGTTTGAATAAGGAAGCTAACTCCAGTGAAGAACCGCTCAAGTCACACTTTACAATGTACAAGCTGAGCTATGTTTGGGACTGCATTCTCGCCGCAAAAGCGCCACCTACATCGGTTAAGAAGCTGTAAAAATCTGCAAATTTTTTGAGCTGCTGGTGTCATTTTTATGACGGAATAAAACTTGACGTGATAACTTTTGATGTTTTTGTAGGTAGCTCGTTTTGTGGAAAAAGAAGGTTCGAATTTAGGCATTCTAGTGGCTTTCTAAGGTATTGCAGTGGCACTTTTAGGTTAAACATTTAGCTTCGAATGTAGGCTAAGTGAAGGCACTTGAGGTATTGGAAGTATTTCAAACAGATGTTCACAGTCGGGAGTAGCGGGTGAACAGATGTTTATCAGAAGATTAGACGTCCGTTGTTTTTGCTTCTAGGGAATTTTGGTGACCAGATGCTCTAACTGTACGTTGCCACCCACATACTCTCGTGATCTTCCAACCAAGTTTGTCATTAAAAAAAAAAATAACAGAGACAACTCATACTGCTCAAGAAACCAAAAAGCATTTATTTATTTTTCATATTCATGTTTGACATTCATGTCACACTCCTGCCCTTGATGTAAATTTGGCAGACTTTGGTCTTAGTTGATATTCCGGAAAGGTGATACTCAAAATGTCAAAAGCATGAATCGCACAGACTTGTCTTCAGAGTATTATAACTCATACCGTTGACGAACGGTCTGTTACTAGTATTAGGCAAGCTTAGGTCTATCCAAACAACAATCCAGTTCTGGGGTCCACTATATGGTAAATTGTTAGACTGATGTACTGTTTGCAAAATGTCTCTGGGCATTTATTTTCTTGTATGTGAACATGTCTTTTGTCTTTATTCTTTGAAATTACAATAAAAATTATTTGGAAAAAAAAAACAATCCATTTCTCGAAACGTAATCTGTCAGAACATGACAAAGGCCAAATATTGGAGGCTACCTCAAAAGAAGTGCCGATCGAGTGCCAGTTTACAATTTCTAATGTAATCACTGGGTATTAGCTTCACTTACTACATTGAAATAATGGGCTTTTGTGTGGCTACATCACACTGTTTAACACAAACACATCAATCATAAAGCAAAATCACACTCTGATGAGCATATGGCCAAACTACCTGCTGCATGCGTAGTACATCGTATTCCGGAAGGTTTGCTTTTCAGCTGTTTTTTTAGAATTATCAGTGTCCAGCCAATTAAATTAAAATCAGAAATCATTGGTGTTTTGCATGTACTCGAACCAGCTGATGAGCCGTTCCAGGGGTACGGTAGCCATGGTAACTTCCACCCCCTCAGACCAGCTCGTGAGCCGTTCCAGGGGTACCGTCGTGATAGTGATAGAGGCGCCACAACGCCCCACTCCGCTGAAAACCAACAAACACCTTCCTCTTCAGCTCCTGGGCAAAGAGATACAAGATAGATTGTAAGAAAAACTGAACAAATCACTGGTAACAGATCAGATAACAATAAACAAAGGTGCAGTTTCTAAGCAGAAAGGTTATTAATAACCTTTAACACGTTGAATTAGCTGTTTGGCTACCAGATCTCTATTCGTTATGGAGCTATCCAGCAAACCATTAACCTTCCGCACACCGAAGGAGCTGCTTGTTTACCGATAACCCATAAGTTACGAGGATAGGAAGTATGACAAAGGTTAACGTTTAGCACGTAATGATGTAACCATGGCTACCAGTTCATTTTTGGTGACGGGTTATCCAGTAGGAAGGTTAACCATTCGCACACTAAAGTAGCTGTTTGGCTACCAGTTCTGTAATTGTTGCAGGGTTAGGCAGCCGAATGATTAACATTTGGCACACTGAAATAGCCGTTTGACACGTCCTTCTAAATTTGAAGGCACTAATGGCTAAGTATGTTATGGATAGAGGGATGACTTATTAAGTAAAAATAGTCACACTTACCAAACATCAATGTGACGGGAGTAAAGATACTCTTTTTTTCACAAACTAATCTTTTATTCAGCCGACGTTTCAGTCACCTTTCTTAGGGCAATTCTGACTGGTTCACCTCACCTGAACCAGTCAGAATTGCCTTCAGGAAGATGACAGACGGTGACTGAAACGTCGGCTGAATAAAAGACTTGTTTGTGAAAAAAAGAGTTTCTCTACCCAGTGTCCTACCAATCTGATTCACGGGGTAAATGTGACCTGTTTGTAATTGGTAATTAGCTGCATGCTTGACACATTATGCCATGTACGTTCTTTGCCCATGTCAGATTAAGGATTATGGTTATTTATAGCTGCTCACAAACACTCCGTACCTACCTGGGTTTTGAGGCTGCCGCTTGTTCGATCACACACGAACACTTCGTACTGGTCTTTTGTCTTGTAAAGAGCCATCGGGTCATCTCTCGACTTATCTGCGATGTTGGCACCTCCAACCTGGTTACTTTGCACAAGACTGTTCAGAGCCTTTAACTACGTAAGACAGAACAGAAGAGTTCATGTCAAAAATGGTCCTCAAATTCATTAAAAAGAGAGTTGCGATTAAACTATCCAGGTATAGCCCCTACATGATATATTAGGGGACCTACCTGTACAATCATGGGACCCTGTTATACATGTGACCTATTGGTGCAAGTGCCCGAACTGTACATCTGACCTATCTGTATATCTGACTTATCTGCACACCTGTATATTTCTTTTTTACATGTGACCTACCTATACATGTGACCTACCTGTACATGTGACCTACCTGTACATGTGACCTACCTGTACATGCATATGTGACCTACCTGTACATGCATATGTGACCTACCTGTACATGTGACCTACCTGAACATCCATATGTGACCTACCTGTACATGTGACCTACCTGTACATGTGACCTACCTGTACATGTGACCTACCTATACATGTGACCTACCTGTACATCCATATGTGACCTACCTGTACATGTGACCTACCTGTACATTCATATGTGACCTACCTGTACATGCATATGTGACCTACCTGTACATGTGACCTACCTGTACATGCATATGTGACCTACCTGTACATGCATATGTGACCTACCTGTACATGTGACCTACCTGAACATCCATATGTGACCTACCTGTACATGTGACCTACCTGTACATGTGACCTACCTGTACATGTGACCTACCTGTACATGCATATGTGACCCACATGTACATGTGACCTACCTGTACATGTGACCTACCTGTACATGTGACCTACCTATGCATGTGACCTACCTGTACATGCATATGTGACCTACCTATACATGTGACCTACCGGTACATGCATATGTGACCTACCTGTACATACATATGTGACCTACCTATACATGTTACCTACCTGTACATGTGACCTACCTGTGCATGCATATGTGACCTACCTGTATATGTTACCTACTTGTTTCATGTACTGCACACTTGTATATGTATCTTTACAAGTGACCTTCCTATACACCTGACCTACCTGTACACGTGACATACCTGTACATCTGCCTTACCATAAACACGTGACCTATATGTGACCTACATGTACGTGTACACGTGATTGTACCTACATGTTCACGTCACATACCTGTACATCTGCCTTACATAAACACGTGACCTATATGTGACCTACATGCACGTGTACACGTGATTGTACCTACATGTACACGTGACATACCTGTACATGTACCTTATATACGCGTGACCTATGTTACCTACATGTACGTGTACGCGTGATTGTACCTACCTGTACACGTGACATACCTGTACATCTGCCTTACATAAACACGTGGCCTATATGTGACCTACATGCACGTGTACACGTGATTGTACCTACATGTACACGTGACATACCTGTACATCTGCCTTACATAAACGTGACCTATATGTGACCTATATTTACGTGTACACGTGATTGTATCTACATGTACACGTGACCTACCTGCACATCTGAGTGGAGAACTATGAAACTCTTGATGACGGCTCCGACGATGGCATTCAGCTTGTTAGTGCAGTACTTTGCCAGGTCAGATGGGCGGGAGCCCAAATGGGTGTGTTCGTACAGGAACTTGTTGGAGAAATACGCCACGTCTGAACCAACGAAAATACATCACGTCTAAATGAAAGGAAATGTATACTTCCCCTTTGAATCAAAAGAAATGCGTTACTTGCGATTAAAAGGGGTAATAATTATTTGATACCCACAAAATACTTAGTCCGAAACCCGAATGCACATATAAGAGATAGTACAGCATGTTTATATTTATCGTACGTAGCTGTCATTGAAACTTTTCATGTAGAAACGAAAGCCAGCCTTTGATGTGCCTGGAATACTCATTTTATTTGAAAATAGTTTCCAGTCTTTTTTCTCATATGTTTTCTCTTATATGTATTACAATTACAGCTTTTCATGTGAAAGTTCGTTTCATACTTGTATAATTATGTAAGAAATAGCTTTCCGTCTGACAGTTTGATCAATACTAGAATGTGTAACAGTAATTTCTGTGTTTAAAGTTAAAACGTCTGTTCCTATACAAAAGAATTGTTCTCACATTGAACCAGTCACCCTGGTCTTCTTCAATAGACTAACCCAATGAAGAAGACCAGAGTAACTGATTGAAAGCTCGGGATGAGACCAATTCTTTTTTGTTGGAACAAAAGTTTTATCTTTAAACATGAAACTATCAACACTGATGATTCGTATGTGTAACAACAGCCTTCCGTGTGAAAGTCTGTTTAAAACCTACCAACACAGGATGGGAAGTCAAAGCCAAAGCCCGCTGGTCCACATTTGTTTTGTTTGGTTTTTCGAGGTGGATTCGTGTTCGTCTCCCAGAATACGTTTCCTGCCCTACTGTACATGATGGAGTCAGGCGGGCAGGTGATTTCCACCTGCTGCTGGGAGAGGATGCGGGTTCCTGCGACGTTTGCTCCGCCACGCTTTAGCTCCACAGCCTTTTCACCTGCTGCTGGGGCCTTGAGGGGGACCAGACACTGCACTGCAGCAAAAAAAAAAATATAACAAGACTGGCAATTAAAACATACATTGCCATAGCGACGATGGTTGCTGTTAGGGTAATTGTTTGCATGGCACTGCCACCATTTCATAATTTTGAGGTACCTATACAGATACGTGTACAATGCACTCCTCCCCTGAGTATACAGTAAACAAGCCCAGGGGTCACAGAAAGTAGAGCATCCGGGGCAGAGAGGTCTTAAAGGTTTTCAGGAAAGTGGGCATAGATGTGGGTCAGAGACATGCCTGTGTACATTCCATTGGTGTGGACAAAATGCCTGTACGATTCCAAGAATTGCACACAATACTGTACCATTATACCATTAAGCTCCTCCCTGAGACGTTACCAAAAACACAAACATCACACTGTATTACAAACATCTCACCAGCAAGCAGGTCGTTGACCTCTGACATTGATAGCATGCTACAATGAGTGTTAGCATCAAATAAAAATTCATGTAGATTAAGCGAATAGTGATCGGGCACGGTTTGAAAGGAATGTGTGGCACGTGGACCATATGCGAGGAATGTGAGTTACCCGAATCGCGGTTCAGCCGGTTCAGTATGAACAAGACTTTAGTAACTCTTGAGTCTGTTTAGATCGTACCATTACAATGGACTATAGGGGGGCTCATCCCTCCACCAGCAGAACAGGTCGCCATTTGCGAGTTGTGGTTCGTTCCATCCAGCCACCACTCTCTGTCGGAACATTCATACAGCACCTGAATAAAGAAGACAACAACATAAACACCAACAACAGGACCGGTACCTTTTTCTTAACTGCCACTGTATTCGCACAGCACATAAATAACAAAGTCAACACCGAGAACTGAACCATCAACGGGACCTGTTCCTACACCGACTGCAGTCACCTGTTGTAAGCACATTTTTGCTAATTTTGACCCCATACGGTAAGATTCGTTGCAAAAAAAAACTTACGGTGGTTTGAGGGTTAGGGACCAGTTCAATATATCTCGGCCCTTTTATAGAATTAAAGTCCAAGAATAATCATGTCATGTCCTACCTGGTTGTCTATCCACACCCGTGCTGGCGGTTTCAGCCTTCGGGACGTGCCTGGACCCGTCTGCAGTATAAAGACTGGAGATTCCTTGAGTTTCTTATCAGCGATGGCAATGGCAGGAGGGCTGATGTCACAGGATTCTGTGGAACGGATTTCAAATATTTAGCAAAATCAGCTGCTGGAAAGGTTTTGATATCATGAGTTTCTATGCTACGAATATTAACATTTCAGTGATAACACCCGTTGGATACGGTACTGTTATCGCTTTGTAACATTTTAGCGAAAACACCAGCAATTGGTAGAGGGGTATATAGTAGAGGGGATTCATTCCTCAAGCTAACCAACATCTTGAACACGCAGTCGTCCCTCAGTAAGACATCTGGAGCCGCATAGTTCCCGATTAGAATATTTATTCAGCCTGTCACACAGCAGATGGTAAGATTGCGTCGATAAGTACTTAACGTTGTACATCGTACTTTCTCTCACCAACCCAGGTAGTCTATGGCGTGAGGGGTACGTACCTCACATGACTCCTACATAGTATTGGAATTATGTCACCCCTAACTTTATACACTCACCCGGTCCTCCGGCACTATGTTAAGGTACGTAAACCCCAAACAGTACACCGCGCGGACCCCAGCACTTTATAATCTGTAATATCTTTTTTGTTTCTAAAGATTTTTTTCTGAAATTTCAGGTAATTGTCACCCACAAAGTTGTCCCTCAATACAGTGCAGAAAATTCCGTTTCCCCCATAAAAAAATTATATCTGATTTTCTTTTTGGGTCCGCGCGGACCCCAGCCGGCTTATGATCGTAATGGATACACTGTTGTTTTATATATTACCTTATTTCCGTTTTATATTTTTTTTATGCACTTATAGTATGGCACCAATTTTTTAAAGAATGGTGTAGTAATAGAAATAAATTCTAGCTTTGTGTAATTATGACGTCATATGACGTCAGAGCTAATAATATGGTCCGCTATCTTGGGTTTTGATTAATGACGTCATCAAATTAGCATATATTATGAATACTACAAATTAGCATATATTATGAGTAAAGCTCAGAAGGTAATGCATAAGAAATGCATTGAACAACATTACAGACCTCTACATTCCAAGGTGTCTGCCTCACTGTCGAGACTGCCATCCTTGCAAGTCAAAGAGATTGAATCAAGGAGGTCAAATCTACCCCCATTGTTTGAATCTTCAATGCCACTGTACCACACCCGTCTGTTGTCACGGCAACTGACTGTGACGCGACTGTTGTGCGGGATTTGACCTGACGGCGATGTGTCCGCATGGGGGATGTTCAGGGCGTCACAGGGGCGTGGGGCGGCTGGGAAACACAGGTAAAACATTAAAACTCAATCGTCTATCCACTCACATGGGCCTAGGGTGACTGGAGCACATTGAAAATATTTAAATTCATCGATTCAGTCACTTTTTCACTCACATGGGCCTAGGACGGCTACAACACAGGCATGGAAAAATTAAAACTCATCTATTTAGTCACTCTTTTTCTCACAGGGGCTCTGGTGACAGGAGCACATGGAAAAACATTAAAACTCATCAAGTCACTCATTTTCTCACAAAGGCGTGGGGCGGCTAGAGCACGGGGAGAACATTAAAACTCACCCATACACTCATTCACTAACGTGCGTGGGGCCTGAATAATTCAACCTTACTCATTTACTTAGTCAAAAATTCATAGGAGCGCACATAAACACAACCTTCACAGATCCAACCAGACGTACATATAACAATTATGATAATACCTACCTTCACACGGGAACACCTTCTTCTGGAGGTTTTTCTTGCATGTCCAGGGAGACGTAAGGTCGTCCCTGAAAGGTAATTCACACGCAGAAAAAAAGTTACTAAGAAGAAGCCTTAGCAGAGCTCTGAAAGCTCTGAATTTCATCGGCCCATTTGTCCACCTAGTTGCACGCTGGGCTAATACGAGTTATTATTTGAAACGGTCGTTGCCGTGTCGTTGAGTAGCCGATGCCAAATCTAGGCCTTTTTTTTGGGGGGGGGGAGGGCAAAATACGACAGCATCGTAAAAATACTAAACATAGAGGTGAAAAAAAGAGAACAAGATTCGAACCCAAATATACGCCACGAACATCATGATGTGGACGGAGCGTTCTAGTAATTTAAGTTTGCCGTCCCGCGACGTGGCATCGCCCGTTTAAAATGACAATGACCGTTTGCGCGACGAAAATACACATACCGACAGGGAGGTAGCTTTTAAAAATCACTACAGACAGTGCAAATAACTGTTTACCTAACAATTCTATTCTCCAGACAAAGAACAGTGACGGTCCTTTAGTAATTACAATGTTTCCTATGAGGAGAAAGTGCATGTCACCTGAGAATGCTATTCTCCGGACAAGTGAAAGTGACTGTATCCCCCTGTAGCATTTCTCTGGTCTCCTTGGCATTAATGAAAGTCCGAAGTTGGTACGTCTGTGGAGCTCCGAGGTCTGGCGTGAACTGAATCTGCATGTCAGGAAACTGCAGAAACTCGTCCCGTCTTGCCGGACCGGGTACAAGCTTGCAGGTCCCTAAATTAATTTCACATCAGTTTGTAGTTTCCATGGGGAAAACATGTTGAAACAGTTACTGTTGCAGTGATACATGTCTTGAATGTCATACCGGCCTGCAGGTCCCTAAGCTATAACATGGAAAATCTTACACCTGCTTGCGGGTCCCTAAAGTAAGACGTGTGAAATCTTACAGCAGCTTGCAGGTACCTAAAGTAAGACATGTCTGAAATCTTACACCAGCTTGAAGGTTCCTAGAGTAAGACGTATTAAATCTTATACCGGCTTCAAGATCCCTAAAGTAAGCAGGTGTAAAATCTTTAACAAACTTGCAGGTCCCTAAAGTAAGATATTTGTACACCAGATGATAAGACAAGTGGAATTCTTACACCTGTTTGCAGGTTATTAAAATAAAACTGACTGGTTTGTTGGTAGTTACGGGAGCAATGCGGCTGTAGTTTGGTTTGTCAGTCATTACGTGAGTAGTGTTGCAGTAGTTTGTCAGTCATTACGTGAGTAGTGTTGCAGTAGTTTGTCAGTCATTACGTGAGTAGTGTTGCAGTAGTTTGTCAGTCTTTACGTGAGTAGTGTTGCAGTAGTTTGTCAGTCATTACGGGAGTAGTGTTGCAGTAGTTTGTCAGTCATTACGGGAGTAGTGTTGCAGTAGTTTGTCAGTCATTACGTGAGTAGTGTTGCAGTAGTTTGTCAGTCATTACGTGAGTAGTGTTGCAGTAGTTTGTCAGTCATTACGTGAGTAGCGTTGCAGTAGTTTGTCAGTCATTACATGAGTAGTGTTGCAGTAGTTTGTCAGTCATTACGGGGGCATTGCGGCTTTAGTTTGTTGGTATTTACGTGAGCATTAGGGCAGAGCATGTGAAGTTTGTACTTACATGAGTCTTATATATAGGAGTCTAATTACTAACGCAGGTACATGTATTACGGCGGTACGCAGGTATTGTGGCAGTCCTTTGTCGGTACTTACGTGGCAGTAGTTTGTCAGTAATGACGTGAGCATTGTGGCAGTAGTTTTTCGATACTTGAGTGAGCAGTAGTTTGTCATACTTACCGTCATACGTCAGCATTATGACAGCAGTTTTTTTTGTACTTTGGTACGTGAGAATTGTGGCAGTGATTTGTCAGTACTTACGCAAGAATCGTGGCAGTAGTTTGTCGGTACTTACTTTGGAATCGTGGCAGTAGTTTGTCATTACTTACTTTGGAATCGTGCCAGTAGCTTGTCAATACTTACGCGAGAATCGTGCCAGTAGCTTGTCAGTACTTACGCGAGAATCGTGCCAGTAGCTTGTCAATACTTACGCGAGAATCGTGCCAGTAGCTTGTCAATACTTACGCGAGAATCGTGCCAGTAGCTTGTCAATACTTACGCGAGAATCGTGCCAGTAGCTTGTCAGTACTTACGCGAGAATCGTGCCAGTAGCTTGTCAGTACTTACGCGAGAATCGTGCCAGTAGCTTGTCAGTACTTACCTGAGCATTCTGGCACAGGCGGTTGGAACCTGCCGTCGTCCTCACACGTTAGGCTCAGCGAATTCAGTATGGGGTACCGGGCCTTTATCCCCAATCCGGGGTTACAGGTCGCCTCCAGCACCGTTCCGACCGGCATATCCTTCCCGGCCACCACCTCCTTGCCCTCTCTGTTTATCAGCTTTCCGTTCAGGCTGCGCAGCTGGCTCTCAGCCACTGTGCACCCTAGAAATGTGCGGAGTGCAATCAAAAGACTATGGAAGAGTTGGAAATAGGCTTCAACCATGTGTGGTTGACATCTGGACTGACAACATTTCTAGATTTGTAAAAACGCGTTAGCACATAGCAGATTTCAGGTCATTAAAATTAATATTGTGTTCAACAATGGTCGTATGGTAAATATCGTGTAATCAACAATAGATTTTTATTTAATTAATAGTCGTGTTTCCAATGAAATCTACAACTAAACTTCTTCTGGGTCTTCATCCGCCACTGAAAAGACAACAAACAAAATTGTTATGACATGAGCAAATTTTTACATCGAGGGATTGAAGCAATTTTATCTGCCTTTACCATTCCCCTAGCCTGCTTTTTTACACAATATTTTCAAGTATTTTGAAGTCGTCATCAGGTCATAGACCCTTGACTTTTTTTGCCCTGCGGCGGCTTGCCTGGAAGGGACGGCTAACCTCACAGCCCATGTTACAGACGAAATATTACCGAGAAAAATACTACCTAGAAGGGATCTTGCAGGAATACCACTTACGTATTTCGTACCGCTGTCCGACAAACGGCGAGACTAGCCTCTGTCCTATGGCCACCACGACGCTCCCACAGGCCCGAGCCGCCCCAGCCACCCATCCTGGCAACATCCGCTTGGTCCGACCTCGTGAAAAAAACAAAATGGTTTAGTGTAATTTGTGAAATATTTATCATATCGGAATTTAAGAAAAAGATCGAGACGAGACACGTGTATAGTAACGTACTTCGTGACGTGCCGCTGCCCCCGGAGCTGTGTTGAAAACAACAAAAAAATATACGAGATGAGTTTGTTTGTAGATATATGCAGATTATATTGATTCATCCTAACTTCAGGCTAATGGTAGGTGGCTGAAGTTGTGGAAATTAAGTAATAACGAAATAACATGAACCTCACATCAAACATTTACCCAGTATTCCTCAGAAGTAGGGTTTCAACCGAACTTCTGACGCGAGGTCACTGTTAGAAGTTAGATGTCGCCATCTTAAAAGAACTCTAACAAGAACCGCAATACCCTGGCAGCTGTCAAAAGTTATATTACGTTACACGTAATTCGCTCAAGACCACTTGGAAATGATTGTAACTTCTAACATTCTCCTGAGTAATGGAGCATGGATGTGGTTTTGGTGATTTGCTTCCATAGTAGTAGTAAAACTTCGGACAATCTATATTTATGATATAACTTTTGCCACTTCACCCTGATGCTGGGCATAGATCGACCTGAACGATCACAGACAGGAAAGGAATAGACAGTCCGGCATCTTTCATTGATGTAAAAACAGAAGCATTGGAGGAAGTTATATCTTAGACAATGAAAAAAAAAGTACATGTCTGTGTAGGCTAGACATTCAGCTTCAGGTAATAAGATACGCCTAAAACAAATAGTCAAACAACTAGGTATGCCTTTGGAAACAGATGATTTGTCTTCACCGTATATTAATCAATATTTCGTTCTTATAAACCTGCTTTTCTCAGAATTCCCAAGTGTCAATGACGAAAGGTTACAACGCTACCTGGAACGTCTGATCGTTTCCAAAATCATATCCAGTTGCTTGAGTAACTGTTTTTTTGCGTAAAGAAAAGTGTACTAAATTAAAAAAATAAAGTTGGTCTTAGTAGTAAAAGATTGAAGAGAGTTGATTCTAATAGTTCTAACACTTTGTCAACGCCTGTCAGTACTGTTTTCACTGCGTTATTAATTATCAAACCTGTCCTGCTGGAAAAGCTGCACCAGCTGCGTCAGCGAGGCGCGATGTTCCCGGAACTGCAGTGTGCCGGGAAGGCGGTACAGGATATAGGGGGCGTAGGGAACCTGGCAAAAAAAATACTTTTTAATTTTATTTTTTCACCACTGGTTTACATATCACCCTGTTGGTGGTTTTCAATACTCTTCGTCCACATAAAACAAAGCATAATTAAGTCAGATAAAATGACAAGTATCTAAAACTAACTTAAAAGTAGAATAATAGTAAAATGATAATGCCATGATAAGAAAAATTTCAAAACGATTGGATGGAATAATGAAGTGATGTAGATAATGGGATGGGGCGTGTTTGCAAATCAATGCTTATTAACAAAATAAAAAAAATTAACTCAAAGATGTAAATCTGAACAAATATCAACTGCTGAGTGAGAAGGAAAAGTCAAATTAGGCACAAACCCGAGGCGTAAAGAACCTGGAAGACAAAATCAAATTCAGACGAAGGGTGAGTAGAAACCTTGAATCCCAGGCTATCCGCATCCACCCTGGCCACGAGAACTCTTCGGTAGAACGGCACGTAGAGAGCCAGGCGGTCAAACCGCTCCAGGGACTCCTGACGGCAGCTTCGGCAGCCTGGGGTGAGTGAGAGAGCTTTTTATTTACTTTAATAGTTACCTTAAAACACGCCGCATTGTTAGAATTACCAACATGTGGGGTTAAATTAGAGAACTGTGAAGAAAGATGTTTGTTTACCTTAGACTTAAAAAGTTTAAAGTTGTACCAACATGGAAAACATTCATAAGGAGACTTGTTCCATAGTGATGAAGTTTTGGAAAAAAAAATCTCCTGAGAGATGGAGCATACAGTAACATACAGTAACGCCAGACTTGCAGAACGAAACCATGTCATGTACTGCCACATGTTAATTGAATAAACTACAGCAGACATTTTAGAGCAGTGCTTCAGTGCGTACTGTCTGGACGATGTTTGGAACTCTTGCCTTACCTTGCGGACATCTATCCTTCCTTGTTCACGATTCTTATCTTGTCCATAAGGATCTTGCTTTGCTCACTGGCGTCTTACCTTGTTGAAGTGTTTACCCTGTTGAAGTGTTTCAAGTGTTTTTACAAGTGTCTTACCGCATTCACGAGGATCTTACCGTTAACAAGTGCATTACCTTGTTCGCAAGTCTTACCTTGTTTACAAGTGTCTTATCATGTTCAAAAGTGCCTTACCTTCTTCACAAGTGTCTTACCTTATTCACAAGTGTCTTACCGTCTTCACAAGTGTCTTACCTTCTTCACATGTGTCTTACCTTCTTCACAAGTGTCTTACCTTCTTCACAAGTGTCTTACCTTCTTCGAATGTGTCTTACCTTCTTCACAAGTGTCTACCTTCTTCACGTGTGTCTTACCTTCTTCACAAGTGTCTTACCTTCTTCACAAGTGTCTTACCTTCTTCACAAGTGTCTTACCTTTTTCATATCTGCCTTACCTTCTTCACATGTGTCTTACCTTCTTCACAAGTGTCGATGTTGCAGCCACGACAGAACAGCAGGATGATACCATACTCCGGTTCCCGGTTCACCAGTGCCGTGTAAGCCGCCATGCTCAGCAGACTGGTCGGTGACTTCGGATCAACTACAACAAATCATGGCCGACTGGGTTCGTATCAAAGGCGCAACATGCATATGAACGACTGTGTTCTTTGATCCAAGGCAAAACATGCTCAACTCAGTTGTTGTTACAAAGGCAAAACAGGGACTACCAGCTTAGCTGTTTGCAGTGTCTAACTATATATTTGAAACTATATATGTTTACCGAAGGAAAACATATTGTGTTTGCTCAGTTTTAATTCTTCTTCTACTTCTTCTTCTTCTCCAAACAGTGACCTTTTTATGACCAAGACAGTCTATCACCGTGGTAACTGGTGTTGGTTTACATAATGTTGCAACTTTGTAGCAGGAAGGATTTAGACTCCTGTCACCATTTATATATGAATGTGTTTGAGTAAGAATCAACAGGGCGGACCATGTGCGAAGGCAAATATTATGCATTTGCTTTGGAAATGTTTCCTTTCTAGTTTTATTTTACCTTAAACATATCCTACCTTCGACAGTCTATCTCTATACGCAATAAGTTAATAAACAGGGAACTAACCATCATTTTGAAGGGCGTCTTTGCATTCAGGCAGGATCTGTTTCTCTTTTTTGGCGAAATCACAAATGTCACGGAAGATCTCGTGGCTAAGTCTCGCCGCACAAGGGCCGCGTGGCACCGTAGCGAGAGGCCCCCATTCACTGGAACATTCGCCGACATGCACGCCAAAGACTACTGCTGAGCGGCTCACACCAGATATCTTAGGAAGAGACAGACATATCTTACGGTGATTCATCATTACGATGATTACGATCGTAATAATGAATCTGAGGTGTCACAGAACATCCACATAGAATCACCGGGGCACACAGTGGATCTGGAGGGTGTCAGAATCTTGGATACCGAACAGGGTTATTCCAAGAGAGGCATAAAAGAGGCCGTATACCTCAGGGCACTTCAACCATCGCTCACCCGGGACGGGGGGCAATATCGACTTCAGACAACCTTTGACCCTTTGCTGACGTCACACGTGGGAAAAATCACGTGTCCACAGCATTTGGGTCAGATAGCTGAGGAAGACTGAGTGATTCAGTCGAAAATTTCTGGTGAGTCAAATTTTGAGTTGGAGAACAGGTTAAGTTTTTTATAATGTAATTTACCAACTCAGATGAACTTTCATGCTGATGATTACGATGATTATTATCTCTTTCAGTAGTTGTTTCCAGCGTTTCTAAATCAAAATTTATGTATAGCTTTGGTTAAAGAACAACTGTATTTGTGTTTCCTTAGTCTTGTTTTAGAATATATGCATTAGACACAGCTAATACACGAAAACAAAATTATGTACACAAACAGGACTATACGCACAACCAAAACCTATCCAAGATCAAAGCAATACATAAACCAAAAAACAAAACAACACAAGCCAACAAAAATATACACAAACAGAGCAAACAAACAAAACATTTTTACGCACAAAAAAAAAAAAACACACACACACACAACATTGGCCCGAACCTACAAACAAAAGGACACACACCTGGTAGGCGGGGCTTCCTGGGATCTTGAGGTGTTGATGTGACCCCGGACACGACATAGCTGCCAACTGGTTCGCAGCGTACTCCATGTTATTCTCATCCTGCCCTCTACTGCTGCATCTGATGTTGCCAGAGGCATACTTAAGGGACACCTGCGATCCGATAGAAAACAATGCAAAAAATGAACCAGATTGTCAAAGGAAAAGGACGACATTGTATTGTCAATATGTTGCTTGCCATTGCAAACTTATTTAGCATTACAAACGTTTACTACAAATTTAAAAGGCTGAGCATTAACAAACAAACAAACTTCAACCCAAAGATCATGCCATTGTACCTAGAATTACATTAATCTGCACCAAAGGAGTTGGGAATATGTACATTTATTCTTTCGAAAAGCTCTTGGAACTCCACTTTTTGACATGAGGCTAACCAGCTGTGAATTGATTATTAGAGGATTGCCTATATGTTGTGGTATTGAGAAGCTAGTTCTATGCGCCAAGTATGGAAATCACATTAATATTTAGAACAAAGTGCGCGAACATTTTAAGCAGAGCTAACCAGAGTTATGTGATAACCAGATAGCCAGCTAAGTGAGGGACAAGGCTTTAATGAGTTGCAGGGCTTACATTGATCTTCTTTACTGAGATACAGGGCTTACCTTTATCTGCTCCGTGGAGTTACAGGGCTTACATTGATAAACTACAAAGTTATAGGGTCTATATTGATCTGCTTTGTGGAGTTATAATTTACAGGGCTTAAATTGACATACTTTGTGGAGCTACAGGGCTGATTTCATTTCATTTATTTCATTTTACCAGAGGAGTACACTCAGGTCGTTTGACCTGTTTTCATGTATCTCTGGGATTAAATACACAATATACATGCAAAAACACACAAAAAGAATATACATTAGAGTCGCAACTCAATATACATTACAATCGTAAACATTTGCACTCAAGTCAGTAGGTCCATAGCTGCCAGTTCCACTCACAGAAAGTCTTTTGAAAGTTGATATTGATCTGCCTTGTGTACTTAGAGGGCTTGAATTGATATGGTTAGTGGGGTTACAGGGCTTACATTTAAATACTCTGTGGAGTTACAGGGCTTACATTGATCTTCTCTGTGAGTTACATGGCTTACATTTAAATCATCTGTGGAGTTTTTAGGGCTAACATTTAAATCCTCTGTGGAGTTAAAGGGCTTACATTTAAATCCTCTGTGGAGTTACAGGGCTTACATTGATCTTCTCTGTAGAGTTACAGGGTTTACATTGATCTTCTCTGTGGAGTTACAGGACTTATATTGTTCCTCTCTATGGAGTAACAGACAGGGCTTACTTTAATGTTATATGAGGAGTTACGGGACTGAAGATTAATCTTTGCTCTACGGAGTAACAGACAGTGCTTACATTGCTCTCCTCCACGGAGAAGGGGCTCCAGATTAGTGTTGTTTCCGGGATCTGGAGGGGAGACGCCAGGGTAAGGGTGGCAAAACTCAGCAAAGGCGTCTTGTTCCGCAGCCAGCCGGGGAAGATGTGGACTCTTGTCACCTGGGAAAATAGAAGAACAATCATAAGATTTATAATTCATGACAGCGATGTTGGTTTAATGCTACACATTTCTTCACACGGCTGCAGAAAATCTCATGTAGGGTAAATCTTCTTCTTGACTTGGCTTCGTTTAAATACAGCATCACATATTATCACAGAGGTTAACGGGGGGTGCCCTAATTCCGACCCATCCCTAATACCGAACTAGTTTTTAAAAATCCTTGTTGCGGCGTTATGCATGGGGGTACTGTCGTGCATCGATATCTGGCGGATGACTGATTATCTCGTTGATATCATGACGATACACAGGAGATATGAGAGTTGACTGTGTTCTTTATTTACATGGTTTTCTCAGTGTGTTCTTGTGACCCACAATGCAATGCGGCCAAGGCCCCTTATGTGGTTTATGTTTACCTGATGATTATCAGACTATGTAACATCCCTTTTTCTAATAAAAAATAAAATCTTTCTCTGTCATGTCTTGTGCTGACTTAAGAATATATGTAGACTTATAGATAATGTTCATGGTCCATTGTTTGTCTATTGTCCATGGTGTGGTCGAGCTCTCTTTTCTCTTGCTGATTTAATTCTAGGGTTTTCTATCTAACATAGGCATGAAACTCTTTTCTTAAAGCCTAGTTTACTGTGTAGTCTTCCTGAGTTAGCTGGTTGTTATATTCTAGTAACAAAAATATTAGGATGTTTCCTATTCTATATAACATAAGAATGCTTCCTAATCTATAGATTACCAGAGCGAGGGTGGTAATCTTTTAGCAGGAACCCTGGGATTATTCTGCCCAGTAATATGGTTCTGCTTATGCTTGCTAGTCTGAGTGGCAATGTGTTAGTCACTGTTCTCAGTCTCTGATCTCAGTCCATTTCAACATAGCGCTTCGGAGGTATAATGTTGTCTCTGGATCTCAGGACTCTGCTCGTGTTCTGCACTATGCCACGTGATGCAGGGTTGTTGTTCAGGTTCTGCGCTGCCTGCTGATTGGTTGTTGTCGATGGATGAACATCTGTTGCAGGCGATGTTGGTGTTGTTGTAGCTGCCTGTGTTGTCATTGGGATTTCAGGTGTTGGCCTGATGTGGATCCTATTTCTTCTTAGCTGACTCCCGGTGTCTGTTTCTATAATGTAGGACCTGGGTGTCTCTGCTCTGTTGAGGATTCTTCCTGGACTCCAGGTTTTGTTCCTGGGATCTTGGATGTGTACGCTTTGGCCTGCAAATAGCTCTGGCAAGCTCTGTGCGTGTTTGTTGTAGTACTCTTGTTGTGTCTTCTGAGCAGCTGTTAGCTTTTCTCTTGTTTCCTCTTTGTCAATCGGGTGTTGGATTCTTGTTGGTAGAGTTGTTTTGTATTGTCTTCCATTCAGGATTTCAGCAGGTGACTTCATGTCGCTTTTCAGTGGTGTCGCTCGTAGGGACAGCAGTGCTAGGTTTGGATCTGACCTTGACTCTTTGCATTTGATCAGTGTCTTCTTTATAATTACTGTTTGCACATGCCGTTCCACGAATCCGTGACCCTTAGGGTAGTGTGGAGAAGATGTCTTGATCTTGAATCCATACTCGTTTGCTAGTTGTTTGAATTCATCAGATGTGAATTGGGTGCCGTTATCACAGATGATCTCTTCGGGTATACCTTGCTCTGCGAACAGACCTCGGGTGATTGAAACAATGGTTGACGCCTTGAGATTTGGCACGTTCTTCACGAACGGGAACTTTGAATAGTAGCACACTACTAATAAGAACCATTGTTGGTTGATTGTGAATAGATCTGCTCCCACTGTTTGCCACGGTCTGCTTGGGACTTCGGTTGCGATCATCTCCTCTTTTTGTTGAGAGTTCTTGTGTTTTTGGCACGTCTGACATCCTGCAACCATCTTCTCGATCGCTTTGTACATTCCTACCCAGTATACAGCAGATTTGGCTCTTAGCCTGCATTTTTCTGCTCCCAAGTGTCCTTGATGTATCAGGGCTAGGACTTCTTCTTGCATGGCTTTGGGCACAATGATCCTTGATCCAGCTAGCAGGACTCCATTTTCCACCGCGATGTCGTCGCGGATTGACCAGTATTCCCGTAGTTCTGGCTCTACTTGGTTTCTCCTTTCTGGCCATCCTTCCATCACCTGTGTCTGGAGCATCTGCAGCTCTTTGTCTTTCTTCGTCTCTTCCTGGATTTCTGTTAGTTTGACGCTCGTGATGTTCACTATGTGGTGAATCTTCACTTTCATTCCTTCCATTTCTTGCTTCTCATGTGGAGACAATCTGGACAGGGCGTCTGCTAAGAGCATCTCCTTGCCGGGCTTGTATGTGATCGTGTAGTTGTAGTCTTGAAGCCTTCAGCAGTAGTCGTTGTAGTCTAGTCGGTGCTTTCGTTAGGTTCTTCTTGTCGATCTGCTCAAGCGGCTTGTGATCGCTCTCAATCTTGAAATCTCTTGCCGTATAGGTATATGTCTTGAACTTTTCGCATCCATATACGACTGCTAGGAGCTCTCGTTCGATGTTCGCGTATCGTGACTCAGCTTCTGTGAGTGACTTTGAGGCGAATGCTATGGGTTTGCCTTCCTGCAGTAGTGCTGCACCAACTCCTTTCATTGACGCGTCCACCTGTAATGTGACCGTCTTATTCCTGTCGTAATATTGCAGGGTCGTAGCATTGCTGATGAGTTGCTTGAGCGTGTTGAAGTCTCTGGTGTGTGATCCGCACCACTTGTACTCCACGTCTTCTTTTAGCAGCTCTCTGATGTTTGCTGTGCAGTCAGCTAGTTTGGGGATAAAGGCACTCATATACTGAATGAGTCCCAGGAAGCTTCTCAGCTCCTTCTTGTCCTGGGGTTCTCCCATGCCTGCAATTGCTTGGACCTTGTCAGGGTCTGGTTTCACGCCTTCTCCAGAGTACACCATTCCGAAGAATTTGCACTCGTCTTGTTTGATGATGCATTTGTTTGCATTCAGTTTTATTCCGGCTTGCCGTGTCTTCTCCATCGCCTCGTGGAGGTGTTTGTCGTGATCACTGTCACTTTTACCAAACACTTGGATGTCATCGGCAATCCCGATTGCCCCCTTTGATCCCTTATACGCTTCGTCTATCTTCCTCTGGAACACATCTTGACTAACCTTTAGCCCGAACGGGAGGCGGTTGAAGCAATACCGACCGTATATGGTGTGTTGAACGTTGTCAGCAGTGCTGATTCGCTGTCGATTTTAATATTCCAGTAACCGTTACTGGCGTCCAACTTGCTAAACACCTTTGCTCCTGCTAGTGCTGGTGTTATCTCCTCCAGCGTCGGTGTTGGATAGTGGTTGCGCTTTAGAGCGTTGTTGAGATCTCTAGGGTCTAAGCAAATTCGGAGCTTTCCATTTGGCTTTTCCTTTATTATGATCGAGTTCACCCAGTCTGTCGGTTGGGTCACTGCGCTGATTATGCCTTTGTCTTGCATCTCCATCAGTTGTTCTTTTAGCCTCTCTTTTAGTTCCAGAGGTACACGACGTGGAGGGTGGACAACAGGCGTCGCAGTTGGGTCTACTGTTATGTGATATTCCCCCTCAAAACAGCCTACCGTATCATCAAAGCAATCAGGATACATGGCAAGTAGATCGGCCTTGTTGTTGATGGGTGGTCGATCCTTGATGGGCACTTCACTGTCGATTCTCTGTGTCGACTTCACTTCGTGGTTGATTTTGATGACATTCATCTGTTGGCACGCCTTCAACCCAAGGATAGCTGGTCCTTGTGACATGGTTATGTAGAAACAACATCTGACATCTCTTCCATTGTGTTTCCCTTCAATGATAGCTTTTCCCAGATGTGGAATCTTTGCACCCCCATACGCTGTTAGTATTGTGCTGCTGGGCGTCAGTATTCCCTTCTTTACCACTCCGTCTTTGGTGATGTTCTCTGGGAATATTTTGCTATACTGTTCTATTGGCAAGATGTTACTTTGAGCTCCTGTATCAATTTTCAGTCTGAGCTTAATGTTCATTCTCTTTTTGCCTGTTTTCTTCTTGATCTGCAGTGTTGTGTACACCTCATCTTTCTGTTTGTCATGTTCCAGTTCATGGACATGGATGGTTCCAATTGTAAGAGACTCTTCCTCTGAGCTACTCTCTCTTCTCTGTTGGAGATGTATTTTCTTCTGTTTTGACCTTGCATCACTTCTGGAATGCGGTGGCTTACCTTTGGCATTTGTCGATCTGCACATCTTCTTCCAGTGGTTTGGTTTCCCACAGGAGTTGCATGTTGCTCCATAGGCAGGGCACTTATTACGGTCGTTGAACTCATGATGTGTACCACAGTACCTACAGATCTTATCGCCTTGCTTGGGTACCGTTTTGTAGCTTTGCTTCTGTTTTGGGCTTGACCCATAGCTTCGTTTGATGGTCTCAACTTTGATCTTGTTTGTACTCGCTTGCGAGGAAAGTGATGACATCTGTTTTGAGGTAGCCTCGAAAGCTCTAGCGGTATCCGCGGCTTCTTTTAGCGTCAGCGTGTCTTTTCCAACGAGTGACTTCTGGACCTCATTATGTGCACACCCCCAGATAAGCTGGTCTACGATTCTCTCATCTGTGTTGTTACCAAACCCACATTTCTTCGCCACAGTTTTCAATCGAGTTAGGAAATCATCTGTTGATTCATCAGGGTTTTGTTTCATGCTTTGAAACTGATAGCGATTGATTCGTTTGTTTGTTTTGGGCTCCAGATGGTTGGCAAATCTTTCTAGAATCTTCTCTGGCTTCTTTTTGTCTGCTTCCGTCATGTCCCATGAGTTATACAACTCGAGTCCTCTTTCCCCGGACCAAAGTAGGATGTAACTAACCTTCTGTTCTGGTGTAGTTTCCTTGAGGAAGCTTTTGAAGCACAGATCAGCTTTTTGTTTGAACTTCTGGAAGGCTCCGATGAGATCGTCTTCGTCCCAGTTCATCGACGGGTGGAGTCCCCTTGCTCCTTCGGCGGTCGCCATTTTCTTCTGTTATTTCTTGGAAACCTCTCCAATTTTCT